GGAACTTTGGAATTGTGGAAACATTAGGGATGTTTCAAAAATTTTGTGCACACATCTGGCAATCTACTTAATGGACAAAATTCAAAATGAATCCGCATGTCTGCTGAAGGGAAGCATCTTATGTAATTTTCAGTGCCAGTGAAAACGTGAAGTGAAGGGATTCCATGAAACTTCACCTTAAGGACCGTTCAATTAACTTCAGTAAAAAAATTGAGCGACTTTACAGATTTTCCAAGCACAAAGACTAAAAACTCGAATTTATCCTCCTATGGTGTGATCAGACCCTTCTTACTTATTCAAGTTTATTTATTTTATTGTCATTATCAGTGACCAAGCCCCCCACCCCCGTGTCATCCAGTGACGCTACGCCACTGCCTGGGGGTACCCGGAATATATCCGGGTGTAGTCTATTTGGTGAGGCTACCAATCACCTTATCATCGTATTTTAATGTGATTTAATGGGTTTTAATTATTCATATTCAAGCAACTTCCCCGAGGTACCCGTAACATGTCCAAGTGTGTCCAATGTGGTCTGGAACACTTAATACGACTTGCATTGATCTTATTTTTGAATTCTGTAGTAATTTGATGTGTCGCATGATGGTTTTGATACGTTTTCCGTTAAATCCAGCGTGAAGGCCCATATTCACCGGATCTTATTCCGGCCATATCTCCGGAACCGTTTGACCGATTCCAAAACCGTTCAATAGCGTTCAATGGGACCCCAAGACCTATCATTTGGCGCCGAGTTTGTCCAAATCGGTTGAGCGGTTGCTGAGAAACGTGAGCGCATTCATTTCGTTACATACACACACATACACACATACACACATACACACATACACACATACACACATACACACGTACACACACACACACACACACACACACTCCATCCTTGGTCCAACGGTCTGGAACGGGATGTACAACGGCGTGCTAACGCTGAAACTGCCCAAAGGAGTTGAGATCGTTGGCTTTGCGGACGACGTCGTCTTGACGGTAACAGGCGAGACGCTGGAAGAGGTGGAAGTGTTGTCAACCGAGGCAATCGACATGATTGGTAACTGGATGAAAGGAGCGAAGCTGCAAATAGCCCACCACAAAACGGAAGTGTTATTGGTCAGTAACTGTAAAGCGGTACAGCGGGCGGAAATCACCGTCGGGGAGCACACCATAGCCTCGAAGCGTGTGTTAAAATACCTGGGAGTGATGATCGATGACCGGCTAAACTTCAACAGCCACGTCGAATATGCCTGTGAGAAGGCTTCGAAGGCCATCAACGCGATAGCTAGAATCATGCCGAACAACGCTGGTCCCAGCAGTAGCAAGAGGCGTCTTCTGGCCAGCGTGTCATCATCGATACTGAGATATGGAGGTCCAGCCTGGGTTCCAGCGCTGGAAACGAAGCAGAACCAAAGGAAACTGAGCAGTACGTTCCGGCTCATGGCCATGCGAGTCGTGAGTGCGTACAGAACCATCTTGTCGGAAGCAGTATGCGTTATCGCCGGTATGATCCCTATCGGCATCACCCTGGCGGAGGACAGTGAGTGCTACAGGCAGAGAGAAGCCGGAAGAGTACGGAAAGTTGTGAGAGTGGAGTCATTGGCTAAGTGGCAACAGGAGTGGAACACGACGGAGAACGGTAGATGGACACAGAGACTAATACCGATTCTTTCGACCTGGGTGAACAGAAAACACGGAGAAGTCAATTTCCACCTAACGCAGTTCCTGTCTGGCCACGGCTGCTTCAGGAAATACCTGCATCGGTTCGGACACGCAGCGTCACCCCTCTGTCCGGAGTGTGGCAACGTCGATGAAACGCCGGAGCATGTGGTCTTTGACTGTCCAAGGTTCGAGGCAGTGCGAACGGAGATGCCCGTCCTTAACGTGGAGAATGTCGTTGATGAAATGTGTCGAGAGGAGGACTCTTGGAATGCCGTCAGCAGGGCAGTCACACAGATTATGTCAGAGCTGCAGCGTAAATGGAGAGAAGAGCAGCGATCTAGCAACGCCAGCTAGCGCTGAGAGTACGACAAGTGCATGAGCACAGCCACCCCCCGAAGTAGTCGCTTCACAGTGGTCCCGGGGGGATCCAGGCAGAGGAGAGAGTAAGGAATGGGTTTTAGTGGAGCTGCACTAGGCAACTAGTGTATACCACACCGTGCCACCTTCACTACAGGCCAGGCTTCTTGAAGCTTTCCTAAACCTTACTATAAAAAAAAAAAAAAAAAATAATAAAAAAAAAAAAACACACACACACACAGACATGTTCCGATCTCGTCGAGCTGAGTCGAATGGTATATGATGGTTTTGATACGTTTTCCGTTAAATCCAGCGTGAAGGCCCATATTCACCGGATCTTATTCCGGCCATATCTCCGGAACCAGTTCACCGATTCCAAAACCGTTCAATATCGTTCAATGGGACCCCAAGACCTATCATTTGGCGCCGAGTTTGTCCAAATCGGTTGAGCGGTTGCTGAGAAATGTGAGCGCATTCATTTCGTTACATACACACACACACATACACACATACACACGTACACACACACACAGACATGTTCCGATCTCGTCGAGTTGAGTCGAATGGTATATGGCACTCGGCCCTCCGGGCCTCGGATCGATAGTCGGTTTTTCAAGTGATATCTATACCCTTCTTTCTAAGAAGGGTAAAACCGTTATATATGTTTTGTAGTCCCATGAAAGTCAGGATAATTGCGGGATTTATAATGAAGTTCCGAGAACTTCTGGAAGTATTTGGAACCTTTATGTTAGTTCCATTAACATCAGATAAAATGCGGAATCCTTCATGAATGAGAATTACATGGAATTTCTAAGAAGTTTCGAAAACATGAGGGTAGTTCCGAAAACTTCAACATCCTTCGGAACTAAGGGCAAGTTTTAAGATCTTTAAATAAGTTCCAATGCCCTGAAGCTCAGTTCGATACATTTCAGGATAATTTCTAAAAAATCAATGAATATCAAAGAGCTTCAGGGGAGAAATGGCTGGATTTTAAACTATATGAAAATCCTAATAAAGATAAATCAATCAATCAATCAACTATATGAAAAGGAAGGTATGTAGCTTCGAGCAGGGTAGTTTCGAAAATATAAGGGAAATTTAGAGAACCTTAATGCTCCCTGTTCAGGTACAGTTAGGGGCCTGTAGCATAATGAATTCTACACCATTGTCGACCATTGTATTATGCCACCCGCCTCAGGGATGCCAAATTTGAAGACTTTTGGAATTCTGTGAAGATATTTTTCTTCCAGAGCTTCATCCAAGTTACATATTTCGCTAAGCTCTCATAATTCTAAAAAGATTTCTGAACATCTATGAACTTCTTCAAACATACGGGAAGACCGTCAACATTTTGTACGAATATTCCTGAACATCTGGGTAGGTCTCTGAAATTAAACGGAATTTTCGAAAACTTCCAAGAAGTCCAGAAAGCTTAAGATCCTTCCATGAATTTCAGAAAGATTAAGAAACTGAACAACTAATATGAAGTGACAACTTTTTACCGTGTACTGAAAATATGTGTCATCCATATCGAAGATAGTCGAGTTCGTTGACCGTCCGTTGTTGCGTGGAATCAGTCTTATGCAGAAATCTAAGCGTAAAAGCCTCACACATCGATAAGGTTAACGGAACTTCCTAGTGCCTGTGGGCACTCAATAGATTCTCGAACCATTTTGGGTTCACAAATTTAGTCGAGACATCGTGCAATACCTCGTTGAATCTGTAGAACATCGAGATCTGAACTCCTGGTCAATTTGCAGAATGGATCATATTTTACTAAAACCGTTCTATGCATCGAAACATCGCACAAGACACCGTTGAGCCTGTAGAACTTGAAGAACCAAAGTGCAGGATGATTGGTAGGACCACAGATATTTTGTCAATATAACTATGGAATCTCCACGTTGTTATGGCTTTCTCAGTCTAGGGTAATCCAAACGGTCAGTTATGTATTGCCCGACGTTTCGGCCGATTATTGTGGCCTTTTCAAGGGTATAACAGTCTACCGTTTGTTGTTAAATTTTGTTTGTTGCCACGATAAGCTCGGAGGAGCTTCCTGTATGGTTCATTGAGTTTAATTATAATTAACATGGGACACTATTAAACGGTTATTTAGAGGATTTATCTTCCTCAAAATAACCGTTGTATAGTGTAGTGTCGTATAGTGTCCCATGTTAATAAAAATCAAACTCAATGAACCATACAGAAAGTTCCTCCAAGCTTATCGTGGAAAGTCAAATAAATAACTATGTATCCTACAGAATGCATTGCGGTAATGAAGCTCTAGGGGATTAAATATTCGATCAGAATATTGTGTACTGCTTTCTGACATCGTATAATACTTTGTTGAATATGTAGAACTTCAAGATTGAATCTTCAAGATGGTCTAGATAACTCTTTTTATTTGGCGCGTTATTAGAAGGAAACTCTTCAAATATATGCAGATTTATTATTGCACGAGGTTTTGGAGATCCTGGTAATCAAAGTGTTCATGAAAATCCCATTTTATTTTTTTCTTAATAATTCAAGTAAACACTATTGCTCAAGAAACTATATGGTTATCTTTAAACAGTGATTTTTAACACCTGATTTCGTGTAGGAGTCATATATGACCCCATGAGATCGAATCGGTTTAATGTCTAAGATTTGAAATGTGTTCTTACTGAAGACATTTATTCATATCCCATACCCCAGAATCAAAATATTAAAAAATCAGGTTTTTTCTCAGGTGGTGCATTGTGCCAGTATGTGATGCGAACACGTTGAAATGACCTAAGTATTAGACGTATTTCCATACTTGAATAAATTGTCAACCAGCTAAACCTGTAATAAAACTTCATATTCCAATCTCCAGTAGAACCAGTTTGCTACTTGACTTCCCTGTTTTCACCCCGTAATAGGGAAAACAATTAATTTGATTGGCAGTTTATCCATAACTTCCATTCTTGTTTTGATTGGCCAGTGGAGCAAATATTTACCTGAATCAATGCCATCCTGGATGCGCTGAGCGTTGGAACGTGTTCTCCTAAAAGTGACCGCATCCATCGTGAAGCTGAATTCGCATTCCTTTCAGCACGTGGAATCGAATCAGCTGAATTTATTACAACTTCAGTTTTCTTCTTCTTTAAAAAAAAAAACTATAGATTTGCTTAGCTGTATTTTTTCTAGGAAAAAATCTTTCAATCACACATAATTTGCATTAGTAACAACCAAAGTTTGATGTAACATCGTGGAAATTTTTTCTTCGTGCATTCTAGCATGATTCACATTTTTCGATTTCTGGTTTCAACCGCCGCGGCTGCTGTGGTACCTGAAAATAAACGAAAGACACATATAGTAAGTTTTATGCTGATGATTTTTTTTTTTCGCTCAATATTGAAGCAGGAGTTTCTCCTGTTTTTGTGCAACATTTTCCTGTCTACGGGTAACGCTTCGGAAATCAAACGGGCTCTTTTTTACGCGTGAGAAAATGCAATTAAAATTTTATTACATCCAGCTCTTCGTTCTAGGCACGGTAGGAGTCGAGCAGTTGTTATTAAAACTGGCTTTAATGAAACGGACGAACCCGCTGACAACAAAAAGCTGCACTCTGATGTGATGCAATTTATTGTTTCCATACACATTCGATTGTAGGGATACGGTACGTTGTCAGCTTGGTAATGATATAATAATGAATTGAATTTATGGATAATTAATCCGGCCGGGCAGTGCCCCTTTGGCAATTAAATGAATCAGTTTTATGTAAATAAATTTTATACAATTTACCGCAAACCTGAAAGTTAATAACTATGTCTGTTGGTTTTGGATAATCAGGAAACAAAATCAGCAGCTTAAAATATTAACCCCCAAATTCTATCTTCTACCAGATTCCGTAATATAAGATTCTCTCCAAACGAAAATCATGATTCCATAAAGTCTCATTCGACGCCACTTTACTTTATAATACAGCACAGCACGTTTCGGCTGGTTGGTATATGTTCATGTTTTCTCGTCTTTTTCCGAAATGAAATCTCACCAGAGGCAACATGATGGGGAGAAATTGCGTGGAAAATGGGGGACATGAACAAAGCTTGGAGCGCTGCTTCCGACAAGGCTGCTACTTTCCGGTGCTTGCAAAAGTGGAAAACTTTTTGCGTCTAATAATTCCATCCACATTCCGCACCTGTCATCTTGAGCCGTAAAAGGAGAACTCTTGAAAAAAAAACAAAAATCATTCATTTCCATGGCACTGCCAAGGGTGACGAGTGTCAGTGATAAACAATCTGATCTTTTTGTTTTGGTCTCTGGAAGTGAGAAGATTGGCAGCGGAGAATCTGCATTTATTTCAATCATGTATTTTATGTTAATACTGCTGCTAGGCTTTTCACAAAGCTTCGAAGAACATTTTATCCGGACATAACATTGCTTTAAAATTTAAAGTCTTGAATTTTCTGTCACTCCATATCTAAAAAGCAAACGTGTGCAATTTGGTGAAACGTGAGCGTTTTTACGCTCATTCAACATCTGAATAATTGATTCGTGTAAAAAGCTCATTAAAATTTAAGATTGTTCATACTTGTTGCTGCGAGCAGCAGGTTCGAATGTCTTTTCCACAGACAAACGGCACCAGTATGTGACCGAGCGTGAGGTTGTTATGATAGGATAGGATTTTCCTTGTTGGGAAGAGTGAATGTTACTGGAAGGTAGAGAGGGCGGTTGTTCAAATGGTTTCCTGATAAAAGTGGGGGCAATGGCTCTTTGGGCCATTTCAGGCTTGTAGAATATATACATTAGACTGATGCAAAATTTGAAATATTCACTCCACAGTGCTCAAACGGTTGCAAATTGGGTCCAACATTTTAACTCATTTAGTAAGAAACTGACATGGTATACATCATCAACTGAATGGTATACATCATTTGAAGATTATATAGAAATTACTATGGGAAAAGCAATTTTTGTTCATATCTATCAAACAATTCACCACATCATCGCTCTGCTTTAAAAATTTATAGCAGTGCTTGTAGGAAATTCAGCTGCAACTTTTTGAAGTTCTCTTTTCAATAAAACGTAAGGCACAAAAGTTATCAATGATTCAAGTCCCTGATGTCTTATGGTTATGCTCAATCAAATGTTCAGCAGGCAATATTGGTGTTTCTGGCGCGTAGAATAGAGCATGGCTACTATGGCTACTAGAGTGATGCAAAATTTGAAATTTTCGCTCCACAATACTTAAACGATTCCAAATCGGATCCTGATTAACCTCTCAAAATTTGAACCCATTTGGTGAGAAACTGAGATGGCACAAACCATTTGAAGTTTGTATGGGAATTACTATGGTAAGATTTTTGTTCATGTCTATCTAATAATTCACTATATCTGTCTGCTTCAAAAACTTTCAACTGTACTTGTAGGATATACAACTTTGCTGAAAACCACTTTTTGATTAAATGCAAGGATCGAAAGTTATCAATGATTCAATGCGCTGATGTCTTATGATCATGCTCAATCAACTGCTCAGCAGGCAACATTGGTGTTTCTGGGGCGTTGAATAGTACACAAAAATCATGGCTACTATGTCACACTGCAAAATACAGTGCAGCGGCTTGATCATGTCATAAGTTTACCAATCTCTTAAATAATTAATAACTTTTTACTGCCTCGTTTTAAATAGAAACAATCTTCACCAAAGTTGTAGCTGAGAAAAATTTTCTATAAGAATGGCTATCGAACTGTTTCGCAGCCCAATATGGAAAAAGACTAGAAGGCAATGAACAAAAAGTTGAGATTTCACATAGTAATTTACATGCAAACTTCAAATGGCTTGTGCGAAGTCTGTTTCTAATAAAATGAGTTGTAACTTTGGGAGGCTAATCAGGACCCGATTTGAAACCATTTAAGCACTGTGGAGCGAAAAAGTCAAAATTTGCATCAGCCTAATGTCACACTGTAGAATACAGTGTTGTCCACATAAAAGCTGCTAGATCAATATCTTCAACAGTTAATAACTATTTTGACTATAGTTGAAGATGCTAATTTCAAATAACAGACTAAAATGGTATTTTTTATACGATAGATGAGGAGATGAAACTATAGAATTGATAGTTCCGTTAGAGTACGGCAGTGTGAAAATTGTATATAGAGAGTAGAAAGCGAGCAAGGACAACTTTTAGGCAGGTACAAAGGGGTATTACCCCGCCACCACTGGCAAAAAGAGATGATCACCGACTCGCTCATGTACCGGCGATGTGTTTGGAACCGTTCTATCGATTTTTACCGCACTCAAGTTGTTATCTGAAGGCATCCAGTCGTAGGTTTCGAAATTGCAGCTATTGTTACCTCTACCTCTATACATTCATCTCCTCATCTATCGTATAAAAATTACCACTTTAGTCTGTTATTTGAAATTAGCTTCTTCAAACAAGTTAATAACTATTTAAATTGATGTTTGGCAAAAAACTATTTTCTGCAAAGATGAAGTTGAAAAAATTGCCCATACGAACTTTTTAACAATACTACCGTATGCGTGATAATGTTTGCACCATCATACAAATAAGGTTCCCGTTTCACCTGTGCATACAATGCCTTGGTTTTCTTTGCATGCACGTAACCTATAGCTCATACCGTAGTAGGCTGTGTACAGTCTTGTAAACAGTCGACATTTTCGATAGCGTTCACTAAGGGCCGTTATGTCAAAGTTATGATTCATTCAATACTATGAACGCGACCATGATTTCGTTTACCCGTCTACAGCTGTCATGCGCAAAAAAAGTTTTTGCTTCCAACACGAGAATGAATCGAATGTTTTTGTTTCGTCTTTTTAACAATACTACCGTATGCGTGATAATGTTTGCACCATCATACAAATAAGGTTCCCGTTTCACCTGTGCATACAATGCCTTGGTTTTCTTTGCATGCACGTAACCTATAGCTCATACCGTAGTAGGCTGTGTACAGTCTTGTAAACAGTCGACATTTTCGATAGCGTTCACTAAGGGCCGTTATGTCAAAGTTATGATTCATTCAATACTATGAACGCGACCATGATTTCGTTTACCCGTCTACAGCTGTCATGCGCAAAAAAAGTTTTTGCTTCCAACACGAGAATGAATCGAATGTTTTTGTTTCGTCTCTTTCCTTCGAACGTATACAAAAGAGCAATGAAAGAAAACTGGAGAAGTAGACCATCATTTTCTCTCTCCCTATCGCTGTCAGTACTGTCGATTGAGTTGCGTTCATTTGAATTTGTTTACAATACTTTGAATGTCGTTTGATAGAAGTTTCATAGCCAAAGTGTTATTAAAAAACTGAATTCTCGCGTCACTTTTCATAACGTCCAATCTACATTGATCGATTCTCTTCATCGACTCTCTCTTTCGTAAATAACTCGGCTGCAGGCATATTTCGGGCTGATTTTGCTACATATTATTTTAAAAGAAAGTATTATCAAGCATGTTGGACGATGAGAATAGCTTAGAATGTTTTTGGAAGCGAGTTATTAACGAAAGAGAAAGTCGATGAAGAGAATCGATCAATGTAGATAGGACCTTATGAAAAGTGACGCAAGAATTTAATCGATTTGTCACGTTGGAAAAGTGGTAACAGGTATGTTTTGTTGATTTAGTCCATCACAACGCATTGCAGTTATGTTTTGTTTCTACTTCTAGGAAAATAATGTGGATTTAAAATCACTTGCCGATTCGCACGCGTAATGTTTTTTGACATCGGTTCTGGGGAGTGAAACGACAACAATAAGGTCAACAACGACGAGCAGCAGCCGCGGGGGGAGGAAAATAATATCGCCGACAGTACGGTCAAACAACAGCACAAAACAGCTGGAGCGATCGTCAACAACACCCTTTAGAGCCTGATCCAGGCGTCCACAGTAGGAGCGTACGCGACGGCCCTCTGCCAGAAGGAAGATCACCAGCTGGAATTTAAAAAATGAACTGGAAATGAAGAAGAGAATCACCTTCCCGACATCAATCTGGCATTTTCGCTGAAAGACGACGGTGTTAAACGGTAGAGTATCGAGGCCCGACGACGAAAGTGAAGATTGCCAACAAAGGCTACGCAAGTTGCTCGAGGCACAGCTGACCACCGCTTTACGATTGACGATGACGTCTACCTGGGAATAATCGTTTCGCACTTTACCGGGAAGTACGGTAGTGGTGAGTGTGTTTGTTATAATGTCAAGTGTTTTGATAGATTGTAATTATATTTCCTTTTACGTAGAACATCGGAAGCTGTACTTTCCGATAGCGTTCCGCTTCGAAAGGAGTCTCTGGCTGTACACCGACACCATTCAGGCCATTCCTAGCCGAACTACCA